TTCCAGCTCCGTGGCCACAGCTGGCTGAAAGCAGGTATCTGGAGTTTGTTTACCTTCTATAATTGAAACTTTGTTGCTTTCAGTGGAGCTTAGAGCCAGGCCGTGGCAGGCGGGGTACCTTGGCTTCCTCCATCATTGGGGCAAGCAAGCCTTCTGCTTGCTCCCGCTCCGTGGCTGCCGGCCGCCATCTTGGTTGGGTTAATTTGCATGTAGTCACTCTGATTGGCTGGTGGGCGTGGCTTAAGGCCTAGCAAAAGTATGGTCAATTTGCATGTTTGTCTTTTATTAGTGTAGATAACTTTTGAGCAAATGCTTTCAACAGAGATCAAATTATCAAGAACCTTTAAGATACAAATGCTAAAGTGTATAATAAAAACATGCATTTATATATCAAAGGAGAAATAAATACATTACACAAAGCATTACCCATTGACTTGTTTTCTTGATTTTTTGTTTTTGTTGGTGCAGCATGTAATCTTAAATTTAACTTCTCAAAATCACTCTTTCTGGGTTCTGGCTCATTTTTGAAAGAGACATACCTGGAAAATAAAATTAATGTAATTAAAATAATCAGAAACTGTATAAGGCTTATCTAAAAAATAAATTTGGAGAACTGTGGTGATGTCCCAGTTATATAGATCTGGATGTTTTTGTGTTAATATATTACAGTAGAAAGTGTAAAAGAATGGGACTAATAAGCAGGAGCTGAAAAAACTGGTGAGATTCACTCAAGGTAAGAAGAGACAGGAAACTGCTGTCGTCATAAAATTGAGGTCAGTTCAGGAAGCTATTGTTCAGGAGCTGGTTAACTCTTTTAGAAAAATATGCAGGAAAGTGTTAAATGAGATACTGGGGACATTGCCATATGAGTCAATGTGATGAAACATGGAGTTAGGATCAGTTCAGATACCAGATCACAGCATTTATTCTATATATTAAAAGGGTAATATGCAAATAGACCAAGTGGCAGAATGACTGGAATGCCTGTGGCAACTTGCCTCTCTGGGCCTCATCCTCCAATGACCCACCCACCCCTCAACCCCGATCGGTATGTTAGAAAGTTAATGGTATATAATTCATGATATTTCTGATCTCTAAATGCTTGTAACCCATGATTCAGTCCTCAGACCTCAGACACTCATCTGTAGTTGGTATTACTCAGCCCCACACCTTTAAATATTACCTATACAGTTATACCGATGTTCCCATGTACAGACTAGACCCTAAACTCTTGTATGAACTCCAGATTTATATATGTAATTACTACATGACATCTGCATTTAGATGTATTATATAGCCATCTCAAACTTCACATATTTTAAACCAAATTTTTGCTTATACCTTCTTCCCCATCTGTTCCTCATTCTGGCTTCTTCATCTCCAGCCAATCAGAGGCTTAGGCCAAAAACTCTAGTCATCTTTGATTTCTTTCTCTCATTCCTCATTCCCACTCTGTCAGCAAATCTAACTATAGTCACCACGCTATATATTACATCTCTAGGACATTTACCTTATAACTGGAAATTTGTACCTTTTGATCACTTTCACTCATTTCAACAGCTACGTTCTTTATGATAGAGTTGGCCAGAAAATAACAATGGGAGAGAAGATGGTAACAGTGGCCAGATAAAAAATTTTGTTGTTTCCCTCTTCCTCCTCTCTTACTCCTATATAGGAGGGTGCTGGAAATTATTTAATAACATTTTTTTCTAATGTTGGTTGATATTTTCATTTACATTAAGAACTTCTGAGTGGTGAACTGTAATGGATAAAAAAGTAAATTTCTCATCCTTGTTCCCCTAATGTTATCCTATATATTAAAAGGGTAATATGCAAATAGACCAAGTGGCAGAATGACTGGAATGCCTGTGGCAACTTGCCTCTCTGGGCCTCATCCTCCAATGACCCACCCCCCCCTCAACCCCGATCGGTATGTTAGAAAGTTAATGGTATATAATTCATGATATTTCTGATCTCTAAATGCTTGTAACCCATGATTCAGTCCTCAGACCTCAGACACTCATCTGTAGTTGGTATTACTCAGCCCCACACCTTTAAATATTACCTATACAGTTATACCGATGTTCCCATGTACAGACTAGACCCTAAACTCTTGTATGAACTCCAGATTTATATATGTAATTACTACATGACATCTGCATTTAGATGTATTATATAGCCATCTCAAACTTCACATATTTTAAACCAAATTTTTGCTTATACCTTCTTCCCCATCTGTTCCTCATTCTGGCTTCTTCATCTCCATCCAATCAGAGGCTTAGGCCAAAAACTCTAGTCATCTTTGATTTCTTTCTCTCATTCCTCATTCCCACTCTGTCAGCAAATCTAACTATAGTCACCACGCTATATATTACATCTCTAGGACATTTACCTTATAACTGGAAATTTGTACCTTTTGATCACTTTCACTCATTTCAACAGCTACGTTCTTTATGATAGAGTTGGCCAGAAAATAACAATGGGAGAGAAGATGGTAACAGTGGCCAGATAAAAAATTTTGTTGTTTCCCTCTTCCTCCTCTCTTACTCCTATGTAGGAGGGTGCTGGAAATTATTTAATAACATTTTTTTCTAATGTTGGTTGATATTTTCATTTACATTAAGGAATAATATGAAAGTGAACAATGAAAATATATGTTGGACCTTCTTATATTCATCAATGACATACAATGGGGCCTTGACTTACGAGTGTCCCGACTAACGAGTTTTTTGAGATACCAGCTGTCTCTCGGCCAATTTTTTGCATTGAGTTGATAGAGTAATTTGAGTTAACGAGCTCCTTAACGAGCTCGGTCTCAGAACGAATTAAACTCGTAAGTCAAGGCCCCACTGTAGTTACTTCTTTGCTGAGACAGATAATAGTTTTTGAATACTAGAAGAATATTTCCTCAATTTTATTTTTTGCTATTTAAAATATAATGGCTACAGGCAAGAGACATACTTTTAAGTTTAATCTTCATCATTAACATTTACTCCTTAACTTTCTTAAATCTAGACATACAATATATACAAATTTGATTGGTAATATTTGTCAATTTTTATGATGTAAATATCCAAGGTTGATTTCAAGCTACCAATGGGTCATCATTGAATATGAAACTGGAAAGAATTGTGTAGTAGCATGATAATACATAATAGTTCTACCATATGGATACAATACATGTAAATAATTTCAAGACTATAGATAATAGTAAAATGTAATAAAATAATTAGGAAGTGATAAGTTTTAAATAATGTCTTTGTTTTTAGTATGTCTTTGAAGTCTTAGTTTACATAATTTGATTTTTAATAATAACTGTTTAATAACCATCTAACAAAATTCCTGAAAATTCAACAATCAGCTCTAAAAAATTAGTAGGAGCTAAGTCTAGCACACCACTGTTCCTGTACCAGAGAAAAAAAGAGATTAGAAGATAGAAGAGGAGAAGGTGTGCTAGAGGAAGATCACACCTACCTTTCACTTACAGGTAGGGGGACAGGAAGAAGAAAATTGCTGGCCATAGCCCTTTTCCATTTCAGCTCTTACAAAGTCATTATTCTGGCTTGATGGGAGAAGGGAAAGCCTTGAGTAGTATGTGGGATCAAAACACTAAACTGGATAGACCAGTGGTTCTCAACTTCTGGCCCTTTAAATATAGTTCTCCATGTTGTGACCCAACCATAAAATTAC